GAAAAATTTCATGATTTTACAGTTGAAATGACTAGCTGTAACCGCAAGTTCTATGCCCACATTTTCTTCTCTCGCTGTTCTTACTTGTGGAACTCTCTTCTGGATCTTACTCTCAAGTCAGGGTTGATCTTCAAAAATGTTAATGCAATGTCAATCATTATATTCTGCCTTCTTCATATCTGATATCTGAAGGCGCATTGGGACAGCCAAGGATACAACCCAGAAGCTAAGCAATGTATTAAGAAACAGGAAAAAATCAGTCGTATATAAGTTGAGTAGGTAAGCAAGTGGTGACGCAACTGAAGAAAACGTTCAATGAGAAGGAAGAAGGACAAAAACAGTTTGCATTTAATCTTTTGAAGATCATAAAAAAAATGTCGTTAGAAACAAAGAAAACAGTACTGAAATGTTATGTAATACCAGTCTTCCTATATAGTATTGATGCCAGGCAATCGACTCACAGATGAAAAGGAGACTTAGAAATGTGGTTCTACAGGAGGATGCTGAGGATATAATTGACAGAACATGTGAGCAACGACGATGTTTCAGAAAAAATGGAAATAAAAAAGACACTTATAATGAACATAAGCAAGAGGCAGTTGAAGTTTCTAGGTTACATAATGAGGACAGTGGGCTTGGAAAATTTGATACTCGCAAGACAGATTGAAGGCAAGAGGGACAATAACGCATAACCTCGTTCATTAGTGAGCTTGACTAAATCAATGGCGACACAGATCTTAGGAGAGATGAGAAAAAGATGGAATTTATTAACACCTACAAAAGACAGGAAATGGTGGAGTGCCAGAAATACATAGAGTGAGATACGGACAGACAGACGAAGATTGATAATGACAGTAAGAAAAAGGAAAGATACAGCGAGAAAAAGAGAGAGAGAGAGAGAGAGAGAGAGAGAGAGAGAGAAATACAGGTACACAGAGATATAAAGAGAGGAATATACAAAGTGGGACATAGATAGATAGATAGATAGATAGATAGATAGATAGATAGATAGATAGATAGATATGAACAGACAGTGAATAGGATAGATAGATAGATAGATAGATAGATAGATAGATAGATAGATAGATAGATTCTAGCGTATAGTGGTTTGTAACACATTATTTATAATCTCTCACTTGCGTCTCTGTCCTTGGGCTGAGTGCATTCAGTGGCGACTCCGTCAGAGTCGCAACTGAGGAAAATTATACTGAGAGGTGCCCAGACCTGGGGATCAGCTGCCCGAGGCTGCGCCCTCTCATTGCACCAGAGAGACGGATCGGTGCTCGCACCGAGTTCAGCGAATCCGACGGTTGAGTTGGCTGCGGGCAATTTTTGTTCCTGGCCCGGGTGTACGTACTCGGGTGCCCCACCTTAAAAAAGGCCTCGTGTCACAACTCGTCCTAGTAAATACTAAGATAGATAGATAGATAGATAGATAGATAGATAGATAGATAGATAGATAGAGTTGAGGATAGAGGCATAAATGGAGAGATAGAGAAAGATGAACAGAGAGAAAGAGAGAGCGAGTGATATAGAGAAAGAAAATGAGATGGATAAACAGGCAACGAGATCGACGTACACAGAGAGAGAGAGAGAGAGAGAGAGAGAGAGAGAGAGAGAGAGAGGAAGAGAGACAGTTTCAGAGACAAATAGGGAGACAGATTTTGGTATACTCACGACATAAGTACGATAGATTGAAGACAGACAGAAAGTATGACAGAGAGAGAGAGAGAGAGAGAGAGAGAGAAAGAGACAGAGAGATTGATGAAGATATGGAGAGGAAGCGAGATAGAGAACGATAAACAGAGAAAGAGAAAGAGAGTAAGAGACAGCGAGAAACGGTGAAATAGAGAAACAGGCGGAGATATAGACAGAGAGAGAGCGAGGAAAAGAAAGACAGAGAAAGAGAGAGAGGGAGAGGGGGGAGAGAGAGAAGAAAATAGGGAGAAAAACTGCAAGTGAGGGACAGAGAGAGATAAAGAGATAACGACATAGAGAAACAGGCAGAGATAGAGAGAGAGAGAGAGAGAGAGCGAGAGAGAGCGAGAAAGAGAAAGTCAGAGAGGGAGAGAGGGAGAGGGGGGGCTATACAGCGACACAAACTGCAAGTGAAAGACAGAGAGAGAGAGAAACAGACAGAGATACAGTAAGAGAGAGCAAGAAATAGAAAACAGAAAGAGAGAGGAAAATAGAGACGCAAACCGCAAGTGAGGGAAAGAGAGAGGGGGGGACAGCGAGATAAAGAAAGAGATATAAACAGAAACAGCGAGAAATAGAAAGAGTGAGAGAGAGGGGGGATAGAGACACAAACTGCAAATGAGAGACAGAGAGAGACGGCAATATAGAGAAACAGGCAGAGATATAGACAGACATAGCGAGAGAGTGAAGGACAGAGAGAGAGAGATAGAGAGAGAGAGAGAGAGAGAGAAGAGTAATACAGAGACACAAATTGCGAGTGAAAGACAGAGAGAGAGAGACAGCGAGGTACAGAAACAGGCATAGATATAGACAGAGAGAGCGAGAAATAGATAGACACACACACACACACACACACAGAGAGAGAGAGAGAGAGAGAGAGGTGGGAAATAGACACACAAACTGCATGTGAGAGACAAAGAGACAAACAGCGAGATAGAGAAACTGACGGTGATATAGACAGAGAGCGAGAAAGAGAGAGGGATAGGAGGGAAATACAAAAAACAAACCAGAACAATTACCATTAAATTATTTATAAAAAAAAGGCACATGTAAGCAACGTTACACTTGTTGGAGATGCCAGGCCATAGCCACTAGCATTGCAGATTCTTCATTGTATTTTATCAAGAATCTCTAAATGTATTGCAGAAGCACCAGATTTGACAGCAATATTCAGTGCATGGGGGGGGGACTGGTAGACTTATAAATACGTAAGAGACATTCTCGCAAGGAATACTTGTCTCGGACGACTCAGTGAACCAACTTTCCTAGCAACAGACTTGGCTGTTATTTCAATATAATCTCCCCACTTCATATTAGCGGAAGTCGCAAGGTTTAACTTTCCTGGAGGTTAGCATCAGTTATGTTGGTGAAAGGCAAATACTTATCATGTTTTAAGACTTCCTGTGTGATAATTCTAAATATTAAATCGATATCTCAAGTTTTGTTTTTTGTTGAATGTAAAAATAGCCGTGTTACTTGCTTTAATTATTAATTAAAATCGCCTCTGGTGTGTAGAAATGGTTTTAACCTTAAAGGATGATTTATCCAGCCTGACTGATGGTAAAGGCTTATGGAATTGAGACTGACTGGTTGAGAGCCACAGCAAATCTAACTTAGGAACTCGTGTACGAGTTCTGATCAAAAAGTATCGGTGATCAAAAAGTGTAAGTGCTATAAAAAGACAACTATAGCATATATAAATTCGGCATTTAATCTCCTTCGAAGTAGTTCCCTTCTGAAGCCACAAATTTCATCCCGTGTCGTTTCCATTGATAGAAGTATTCCTGGAATTCAGTTTTGGGGATAGGGAAAACTGACCCGTTGCATTCTTTTCGATTGCCTCGACATCTTGAAATCTTGTTCGTTTCAATGGGATTTGGTTGGCTGGTAGTTTTGTTTTATGGCATATCAACCTCAGTGGGTCATTTAATGTCAACAAAATATTAAAATAGATTCATAGTGATAGTTTAGTAAAAACAGGTGTGTATGTATACATATATATTTGAATCATTTTTTATTACAAAGTATTCCTGGTATTAAAACCTATTTTTACACAATTTTGAGTGTTAACTATTTGCCCATAGCTAGGACCCTAACATGTGCTACCACCCCGGATCAAAATGAACCTGGGAACACCAGCAATTAAGAGGTGGTTCCATGCTCCTCAAAACCTCCTGATCAGAGGCCTTGCTGTTGGACACAGTTTATCTTCGTACCCTGGACTCGGATGTAGTTTATCGTTACCGTAGACGCGGATGTAGTTTATCATCATACCCAGGAAGGGGATGTAGTTTATTGTCTTATCCTGGATGCTGGTGTAGTTTATTGTCATACCCAAGACGCGGATGTAGTTTATCGTCTTTTCCTGGACACGGATGTAATTTATCGTCATACCCAGGACGCGGGTGTAGTTTATCGTCTTACCCAGGACGCGGATATAGTTTATTGTCTTATCCTGGACGCGGATGTAGTTTATTGTCATACCTAGGACGCGGGTGTAGTTTATAGTCTTACCCTGGACGCGGATGTAGTTTATCGTCATACCCAGGACGCGGATGTAGTTTATCGTCTTACCCAGGACGCAGATGTAGTTTATCGTCTTATCCTGGATGCGGATGTAGTTTATCGTCATACCCAGGACATGGGTGTAGTTTATCGTCATACCCAGGACGGTCGTTTCAATGAGAATTGATTTTTGAAAAGATTTCGTTTTTTTTTTAATGACATATCAACCCCTATTGATTATGTAATATCGAATTCTAAATATTATGTATGTTTTTTGGAGATAAAATTGGTTTATTAATACACGTCTTACTATTTACCCGATAGTTAGGGGCAATATGTTGTTTTATACCTTTGCCAAAGTTAAGTGAATTTAACAAAACAAACTGGAATTGGAACTCGTCTCTCTGAATAACAATTCCTAGTTATTATCCATTAAACCACGCCCCCCCCTATTTTCAAGCGGTCACCCTTCTAGTTACTGGTTACGCTCGACGGTGGTCGTACGGGAACGCGTCTTTTAAAATGATGTGGCCGTAAGCCTTTTGGAAAGAAGATGTCGCAAAGAGCCAGATCTGGGGAATATGGTGCTTGTCGGATCCGGGAAATGTTGTCCTTGTCGAAAAACTGCTGTGCAAAATTTGATCTCTGATAGGATCTCTGTGGTATTGAGAGACGATCACACTCTACACACTTTCCTTCTAAGCACTTCTATGAACGACGGAAGTGAGCGAGAAAGTTATAACTTATTATGTTTGCGCGACAGAGTTCAATATCAATTTGTGCCAAGCGGTTTCACTCTGTGTACTTTAACTCCTTAACCATAGCAATAGTCCCGATACCTTTTGATCAGACATCGTGTGTTTGGCCCCCTATTGACAGCAATATATGTTATATAATGCAAGTGCTGTAAACAAAAGAACCTGTTCTGGCTACCGTATTTCTTTCTTAGCAGAACAAGTTTAATAGTGGAACACACCTATTTTATAGTTAATAGACTCTCACACCTATAATAAGTAGGAGTAATAGTAAAAGTAACGAGTCAATTGCCAGTCACTCAGTGAGTTGGTCAGTCAGTCGATGTATCAGCGACCACAACTAGATTTCTCTGTCATTAACTATTATATAAAGTTTCTAACGTTTTGTACGTCGAACCTATTTTAGGACCGACTTAGTACAAATGCAAGCTTCCATTGTGAAACTACACTACAACAAATGTATGGAAGGCTAAAAAGAGAAAAAAAAATCTATTTTTATTTTCTCATCTAAGGGCTCACCATGTTAAGGAAGTCCCTAAACTTGGGGTGGAGAACTAAATAAATAGTCATTACAAATCACTTTCTATTGGTTATGAAAATTTTGAACTTCAGGAGACTAACAAAAACGTTCTGCCTTATATTACTATTAATTCTTATTTCAAACCTTTGACAGCATTAGCCTCATTGTACATCGAAGTGGCTAATGTTGCAAAAATCTGTCTACTGGACTAGATGAAAAGTTTGACGAAAAAGCAAGAAAAACTGAAATGCCTTTATTCTCTAACATTATTTTTCATTTAATATCTTTCATTTTTAAATGTTATGTTCTTTCGGGATATAGAGCACACCGCCCTCCACAGAATTCATTACCCTATTATTTTTCATTTGCCATGATTTATTGGGGAAGATTATTCCGCGGTTTCCCCTTACCTTCCCCAATGCTTTAAATACAGAGATATCTTTCCCCTAGACTGGCTGCCATCCACGGCTAATGAGGCCAGTCGACCCTTATAGGAGAGACGAGGTCGATTCCTTTCTTTTCAAAGTGAATTAGTACGAAATTGAACGCTATGGATGTGGCTGGTATGGATGTGGTCACGCATAGCTCAGATGTAGCACAAGGCCGAAAGTACCGGCCACCCAGTGAGGATCGAACTCACTACTCTAATTGTTCTAGCGAGACAAGCTTGCTAATCATTACACCGCCTCGAGGTGACCCCACCGTTCAATAATATATAACGCATGATTTACCCGATCATTTCCTATCGATAAAAGGCGACGGATGTAAATTTAACATGTCTAGAGTTGAAACTATACGGCCGCAGGAGAAAAAAAAAAGGAAAGAATAAATTGTTTGTTCGGATAGGTCTCGTCAATTTCTCAAAGATTTAAATTCTTCACCAGCATTGTTTGAACGTTAACAAAAGACCGGCTGGCAATGATGAAATGGCTGAGCCAAGTTGATTGTCTCTGTCTGCGTCTAGGAATTCGTGACATTTTGATGAAGTGGCCTGATGCAGAAGAATATCACTGTCTAAAAAAGTCACGAAATGGAACAAGACATTCTTTCATTAATTTATCTGTCTATTTACTGGCGCGTATATCTGCGCCTGGCTTAGAACGTTCGCTTTCTGACCAGGAGGCCCGCGTCCGAATCTCGCCAGGGTCAGGAAGGTGATTTCTTGATGTTACCGGTCTGGGCGAGTCGACCTCAGCATGCGGCACCTTTGGAAAGTGCCCGACAAATATAGCACGAGTTGACCCAAGCCATGAGAATAAAATTGGGAGCCGTCGATGGTAGTGCTAGAACGTAGTCATTAGTCATCGTGACCGAGGGTTTTAGCATGCTGATCTTGTTCAGATTGTTGATCACACTAGATAACGCGTTCTCTCCCAGAAACTGGGCTCTGTGGGTGTTGAACAAACACAAATGCTCCCGAGCAAGCGTCTGCATCAGGGATTAGCTAGCCGCCCTAGAATTAGCGCTTCCTCGGATAAGAGCGGATATTCTTCCATATGTGCAGGTATCAGTCTCTATGTACGATCATATTAAACGATTTTTGTCTACTTACTCAGGTGAATGTGAAAGTAATCGGATGAAAACTATAATCTAACGTTATGACTATTTGATTATATATACAAGCCCTATTCTTTAGTTCCACCAATTCAAACCTTTGCAGCTCGGACACGCCGTGTAACTTCCAGTCGAATCATCCAGATTTCTCACGTGTTCGAAAAATTAGGAAGAAAGTTCCACTCACACAGCATTTTCCAAGTAACTGCTCGACTGTTGTCGTGTGTATTTGTGAGGGTGGTGCTGAACAAGATCCTCTTAAACTCGTCAATCAATATCTATCGTCATTATACTTATAATTATAACTTCTCTTCCTATCAACGGCACTTTCATTCATATCACTGCCTTTTTAACTAATCATTGACTTTTTAACAGTAACGCTCTGCATTGAGGAGCTCTCGAGCCTTGTATTTGAACGAATATTAGTATAAAAGATAGGCACACACACATATATATATATATATATAT